AACTAAACGTAGGTTTTCATTTAGAATAGATACCTATCAGATATTTTCGAAGTCGGTGCCAGCCTACAATATTTTAAGATATGAATATCTAATAGGTGAATATGTATTTTACGTATCGAAATATATTAGATTTGCTTTGCATCGGCTGACACCAACACATGTACAAGCAATTGATAAAAAGGGACAGTTATAATATATCTATACATATATTAAAATTGTAACTAAGCCGAATCTGTACATTAAATATTTTTTGGAAAATCGTATTGAAATAAACATTATTATCGATACAGAGGCCGAAACTATAGTTTTTAAAATTTTTGTCTGTCTGTCTGTTACCGCATCACAGAAAAACCACTGGAGGGATTTTGATGAAATTTAATATCGTGATAGCTGGTTATCCAGGTCAACAAATAGAATACTTTTTACTGAGGGAAAATGTCTCATTTTTGATAAAAAATATAAAAACTGCAATGTAAGAGTATACTAATATGTAAAACTAAGAATTTGGTTTTTGGTCATCTGAACGCGGGCGGAGCCGCGGGCAATGCTAGTTAGTTATAAGTGTACATTTGTTATGTATTTTTAATTAAGTATATTTATAATGTGTTTAAAAACCAATATTTGTTAAAACTATAATTTTAATTTAAAAAAAGAAAAAAAAACATGCCCATTTTAACATAGTTAATTTTAAAACAACACAATTGCCCTATATTTTATAAACACCTGACTTGACTTAACAGGCCTTGTATAATTATTTTACTACCCCTGCCGTTAACCTTCTGCACGCTTGACCTGTGACCTCTGCCACGTGGATGGCCCCATCGAATAGAAGACGCCAGCTGACCCCCGTCTATTATTTTCCTTACTTAGATATTTTTAATTCACGGCAGATTTAAAAGCCACGCTTACAGATTTGATTAAAATATGAAGAAGGAGCGTTTTGTAAGAGTATAAAGAAATTACTCTATTATTTTATACATTTTTATGATTTCCTTACTGAATTGGATGGTCGAAACTGTATATTGCGAAGCCTATGCTGCCTGTGGAATTATGCATGATAGATGATAACATATTATGTTTATCTAATATAAATGCAAAAGTATATTATAACTAAATATATAAAATTAATTATAAATATTTAAGAGACCTCATTAAAAGAGACCTCATTAAAAAATTAATTTACAAAAATAATAAAACCCGACTGCGTGAAAACTAACTAAAAAGGTAGTAACTAGTTGACAAAGAAACATAGTATTATGCAGTCGGAGACATACATATACATACTCGCATCTAGTATAAAGCATGTGTGTCGATTAAGCCGTTTAATAACTACTACATACAGGTCAAACACATAACCCTTCTTTGGGCTTCGCCGCAATCAGGTAACAATTAGTTATTAATTATTTAGAAATAAACTCATACAAAATTTACCTATAAATGCACAGTTGTATATAGTACCTTAATTATGATAAAAAATCTTATAAAATGCAGACGAAACTATAAAGGTGGCAATGCAATTTAATGTTTCTATAGTTGAAATGTGGGTCCATATGTAAATTAGTTTGATACAAACTGGACCTATTGTAGTAGTACTGGTCAATTCATCTTGAATTTCGCGAGATTCAAACAGAGGGGTTATCTGCAATATTTTCCCACATATTCTATCATTCACTTTTCGTAGACCGTGAGATAAGCATCGTTAAATTGGAGTTCATCTTTGGCGCCTTTTATGTGTCGATCTTAGTTTTTTTTTGTGTAAAAGTGCAATGGATAATTGGATTACCCAACTATTTCAAACGCCAACATTTTCTAAGCCCAAGGTGAGAATACATTATAAATATCGCTTATTTTTAAATTACAAAAGAAGTAGGTAATCACGAAAAGTCGTGTGCGTGTATTTAAAGTATTATTATTTTTTCGCTCTTGATCTACAATTGTCTCTCCATTATATATAATTCTTGAATTATATTTAATGGAGAGACAATTGTAAATTCTTGAATTATATTTAATGGAGAGACAATTGTAAAGCTAAAATAATATAAAATTAAGAAATTGTAAAGCTAACATGAACATTTCATGTCTGAATGGTCTGTAATTTACTCTCATAACATTGGTTTATATTGTGCAATACTAAAATCGAGTTAACCGAGACACAAAAATGTACAAGAATGATATATGACAAAAACGCCAGCAGCAACAAACAGCTGCTCACACCTCCCGCGCATTAACCTAACGAGCTGCCCTAATGGCGCCTTAGGGTTGCCACGTGAAAAAACTCTAATAAATTACTGCAGTATTTCAAAGCTCTTTTAAAGTATTGTCATTAGATACATAGTACTTAAGAAGTTATTAAATATTACATTGGCGGCTGCTTATGTTACGTGATTGCGCAGGAGATTAGAAGTTCAATGCTTTGAGTAAATGAAGAATGCAAGGATATGAAATATACAGTATTAAAATTTATTTAATTTTCATAGCAACTATCAGCACCATTACGCTGAAAATACGCTATATAGGTATTTTAATTGAAAATAACATGTAAATGATATAACAAAATTATCTTGTTCAAGAAATCTATACATATTGAAAATTAATCAGTTTGCAATTATTCCTACTATCTTACTACTACTAATCCTGACTATATTCTAGTAAGTTTCCACAGCTCTAGAGCTATAAGTAACGGGTTAACTGTTACAAACCTAACGAGCATCCTTAATGGCCTCTATTAGGGTTGCTACGCTAAAATAAATTACCACCTACTTATATAAAGCTTCCGTGTTTGCCTTTCTCGCTCGTTACTTTTGTTTTTATTTAGATAGAGCTTAAACGACTGCTAGTATCCAACTTAGTGAAGGTTTTCAATTAAATAGCATACTTGATTATTTAACTATAATAATACAATACAACCTGAAACTTTTTAAGGTGCGTGTCAACAGGCTTCTCCTGAGCAAACTCGCTAGATCATAGACCTTATATCTATGCCTTCGAGCTAAGATGAAGGTCAAGAGTGAGCCCATGTTTAATAAAAAAATACATATTCTCTGTAGTGGTTTATAAATAACAATTCTTACAAATACTTTATATATTTACAAAATAACTTTGAGATTACATCCTATAACTTTGATAGCAGAAGGTTTCATAAATATCGTTACTAATATTATTTGAATATTTATTATTTTAAGGTAATAATGAAATATAGACTTTAAATAATCATGTTAAACATATATATGTTGTCCCTTAACTGTTCCTTAATTTCTTTAAGCATGTTTTTTTTATTTTATCATATATATTTTATTTTATGTTATTGATCAAGTTTCTTCAAAACTCTAAGTGTTATATAAAATTATTCATAAATCAAAGGTAGGTATACATTTTTTACCCGATGTTTGTGTATACATAAAAAATAAGTTGTAATACAAACTAAAACCTACAGTTATTAGAATTTGTATTTATCTTCCTAATTCCTCAAAAATGATTAAACATCTCTGTAGAGGAACTTAAAGGAATAAAACAGATAAAATTTATTTAAATTTGTAAAAATGATTAAAAGATGCAGCTTGTGTTCGCTATTCCACGAACACTTATATAAAACGGAGGTTATGTTTACTAGTAACACATATGTACATCTTACTATTATATAAATGCAAAGATTTGGATGGATGAATGTTTTTTACTCTTTCACTTCAGAATGACTGAACGGATCTGGATAAAATTTGGCACAGGAATAGAGTAAAGTTTGGAATAGCCTGGAAAAATGTACGGTTCCCGTAGGATAGATTTATTTCGTGCAAGTTACGAATAAATTAAAATGCTCATGTGCGTAGGTCCTGGTTCTAACTATTTTTGTTAAAATATATTTACAATGCTATTAAAAATCTAAATTAATAATTACGGTAACTACTACGGTACTAACCAATTTTATAAAAATAACAAAAATCTTATAATTACAAAAATAACAATAATGTTATAAATACTTCTATTTGCAACCCTAACTTTTGGTTACTAATTTGTCTCCGTCGTACTCAAATCATTCTACTTCTAAATGTAGATAATATATTCAGATGAATTATTGCATTATATAGAGACTTGTATATTTTTGTAAATTTGATTAGGGCATTTATTTCATTTGCAAATCTTCCCATTTATGTCACAAAAGATCTTTTTGAATATCGGCGTTAAGAAATATTAGAATCCTTCAATAATTAGAAAGATTTCCTTAATTTATGTCTGGGCTCTTAAAAATAAAAAAATTAAAGTGCATAGGTACTTTTACATTACGATTGGTTTAAAGTTTTACTATTACTTTAAAGTCCAAATCAAACATTTTCTCAGTCAAGAAAAATACCACCAGATTGAAAAGAAAATGTTTCAATTCTGAAAAGAACTATTTTAAATAAATAATACCTTTTACTCGTACCATTACCAACATTTTGTAAAAAATGTACACGAAAATCTATGTTTATAGGTATTATAAAATTAGTTTAGAACTAAAACATTTGCTTGGATAGTTCACATTTACTCCTATATGTATGATTAATGTATACATATGTGATGTAATTACATAATCTAACACATCATTTAAATTTTAAATATATCAGATATTTGTGTCCTAATTTACTCTAGAGGAAACATTCGCCCGGTGACACTGCTACGGATTTCCGCAATGAATTAAAATTCTACGTGAATGAATTACTGCACTGCGCTGTCGGCGCTTTGTGGCAAATTATTTAAATAAATATCACAAACCCTTTTTTATTTCCATTCTTTTTTATTTTAAAGTCTGTCAAAATTGCTCCAATTTTACTTGCATTGGATTGAGCTAAAATTACGAGATCCCTTTTAAACCAACGGAGATTACTTGGAGTCTATCAAAATCCATTAATTAACTTGGAATATTAACGAGCTACTCAAGATCGAAAGTTTATACCTTGAAATTACAAAGTGCGTAAATAGGTTTGAAAGTCTTTTGAAGTTGTATAAAATAATCGTGAATTTCTTAGACGCAGCACGGTAGTCCAAAATGTGGGAATGGTGCGAGTGGAAGCGGATCAAGCAGCACTAGTGGGACGTCAACAGTGCTGGCACGTCCGAACGACGTCAAGCCTGTAGAATGTAATCTTTGCCATCGCAAGTTCAAAAACATCCCCGCTCTTAATGGACACATGCGATTACATGGTGGATATTTCAAAAAGGTTAGTTTGACTTTGACACTAAGCAATAACAAACAATTTTTTCCCCTGAGCTAAAATGTGTATTATTTTACAGGACTCGGATAACAAGAAATTAGATAAAAAAGAATCAACTGGACCACCATTGCAAACAGCTTCTGTTTCAGTAAGAGCACTAATTGAAGAAAAGATCATTAGTCGGCGAGGTGCTACTGTCACAACTTCCCCATCTATAGGTAGTTCTATTAAACCTTTACCTTTAGTAATATTTAAACCATTTAATTGCTATAATTAACTATCGTAATAATAAGTAAATAACATTATTATAAATCTATTTATATACAAAAAAATATTTTTTAGGTACTACTGAAACTGCAACATCTCGTTCAGGATTTGTTGCACCGGCCCCTCCTCCTCTATCGACTATTAAAACATCTGCCTCGCCAGTGCCATCAGTTGCCACATCTACTCAATTTATATCACCGCGTGCGCCCCCATTAGTGGCCGTAGCTACAAATGTAACAGCTAGCCAAAGAGACTCTACTTTAATAGAACTACTGAAAAAAGGCAGTTCAAAGGTAAATTCATAAATAGATCTATGATTGATGTTTGTTTTTAACAAGTTTTATATTTTATGAAATCGATATGTATACTAATTTCACGTTTTTGTAAAGGTGGTTAAGCGGTCAGCGTCAGATCCAGGTCAAACATCTCCACAACAAGAATTTACATTTCGACCGGAATTATTCGGTGTATCATTTAACTCAGATGATGGATATTTTTCACCTGCACTCAATGAAGACACTTTTCAATTTACATCTACATCTGACCAGCTAGAAGAACTAGCTTCACTAGAGGATTACGCGACTGTTGCAGCATCTATACGAGAAAGATCTCCAGTAACGTTCCCATCCAGTCGTCGTCTTGCCGCTGTATTAAATTCGCCTCTACCAGAATCGCTTGCTGATTTCGGAGCTTGCCATGGTGGATCGCCTGTACCATCGCCTGGTATTGGCTACACTGAAAGTTCACCAGGACTATCATATACAACTGGGGATTCTCCTGGATTAGCTTATACAGCAACATCACCGAGTGGAAGCTATTCAACTCAACCCGAACCATCACCAGGCTTAGCTTACCCAACACCTCCTGCTTCTCATGATGCTCATTCACCTGCACACACCGTTCCTAGAGCATCGTCTCCCCTAACAGCTGCCTTTTTTACTGCTACTATGTCGAGTCAAGAAGAGGTAAATTTTATATTTTGTACCGAATTATGATAACTTTATACATATATAACTTAACAATTTATTAAAAATTTATCAACGTAGGTGGAAGAAGCTTTGGAAGAGGTTCTACCAGAAGAATGTCGATCATTAGATGCATATGCACTAGAATCGTCTACCACTGCACGTCGGATCATGTTGAATTCAGAAGATCCGCTATTATCTAGCAGTCCACGTGATTTCTCCCATCAACGAAATATTCGAAGACAACATCGAATTACAACTCCTATTCCAGCACCTATACATCATTGGCACGACAATACAACACTACAGGTTCGTATTATTTTAGTAATTTTCATTTATACGGGCATGTTATAGAATAAGTTACATTTATTTTATTTCCAGGTCTGCGTTGAGGGACGGGATCCATTACCTGCAGTATTTTTAAGCCCTAGCAGTATACCAGCTTCTCCGCAGAGACGTAAACGGCGCGCTTCTCCAGCGGGGCCTTATCGCTCGCGTATGCGACGCACAGTCAACCATTACACTCCTCAGCCAATTCTATCGCCTGATAGGGACGGTTGTGGCTTATACACGGAATTAGTAAATGGTATTGTTTTGTTTTTATAATTATTCGACTATTAGTTCATATGTGATATGGGACACGAATTATAATAAAAATAAAAATATTAATTACAGGCCTTCAAGCAGATGTTAATATGTTAACACAATTAGAAGAACCGCGTTTACCACAAATAAATATAGGAACAGATCATCAAGCAGATATTCCCGAGCTATGCAATGACCGTATAGACTTACACCGGATACCAGAACAGCTCCTATGGGATCCCGGCATTAACGATGCCCTTGACGATAACGAAGGTATTGTTACTTTTTAAATTATCGCGTTCAATATTTATTACGCGCGTTCCGTAGTGTAATTATCATAGAAGGTATTGTTTATGGACTATATCAGTGTATGATTTAAATATAAACGTATAAAAGTATTCACGGTTCGAACTTTGTACATTGAATATTTTCTTATTCCTTTTTTAAATAATATTCCAACATTTCTTTTTATATTAATGAAATGATAGTTAAATCTAAGGTTTATTGTTTGTATAGGTTTTTTTTTGTTTTCAAAGTAACAAAAATGATTACTACATTGAAAGCCAGCTTCAACAATAAGTGTAAAAGTAATGTATCAAAATGAACATATCACTTTCACTAAATAGAAGTGCTAATATATATTTTTTTTCTTTTTAGTGCGCATGTTTATGGAACTGGCAATGTGTGCTGCCATGCCGGTTGGCGGCCACACGAGAGAGTATGCTTTACAAACGTTAGGTGAGTGCGGCGGAGACATCCGAGCTGCAACTTTACGCCTTATGTCCCGTCCTGCCGCTCCCTCGCAACACGAATCTCGCTGGACTCCAGATGAAGTAGAAGCCTTCTTAGCGGGACTTAGCCAATATGATAAGGACTTCTTTAGAATTTCTCAGCTGGTAATGTATTTTAATGTATGTCCTTAAAAATTAATAGAATTATGAAAACAAATATCTCGTATTCTAATATCGACTTAACTTTCAGATAAGAACGAAGGATTCAAAACAATGCATTCAGTTCTACTACTTTTGGAAGAAAGTGACGAAAGACTACAAAACACTCTACTTGCGCAGTTGGAACGCTCAAGCAACCCAAGTAAGCACCGCCACAAATGCTGGCCTACACTTTTTCTTCAGGTTCACAGAATAGTTTTAAGTAGGATGTTAATTCGACTTTAAAAATTCAGGGTTCAGTTCATATTCCGACTCTCGGATCTGCGTGCTCGCCGCCGACTTCGTATGAAGGGGAAGAATTTCCATGCAAAATATGCGGGAAGTAAGTTTCGACATTCGGAATACGTAACGCTTCCATGATAGCCTAAATAGCATTCATACGCCAACGCAAGTCAATGAATATAATTAGATATCAAATACCACGTGTGATTTTAAATATTTTTGTGTGAAGTCTTGTTTTACTTAAAATGCGCATGCACATTAATATAAGGGTGTAGGTATATATGTATGTATATATGTATGTATGTAGTATATATATACAATCAACTGAATTGTAATTCTGAATTTTGTAATAAGTACATACAGATTCTGGTGTCCACTGTCCGTACCATAAAATGTTACTCTAACAATTAAATGATAATAATTTATATATTAAACAACAGATCTTTTCTCTGTTAGCAACGATTGTTTAGTTGCTTTTATGTATTGCATATAAATAATTTGTTAATAGATACATTAAAAGAAAAAATAATTTATGAAAGGATAAGGTTATTAGGCATAGAAGAATTCCTGTGACAATTTACACACTATTTTTACTATTGAATACACAAACTATGTATTTCATGATTCGAATGATATTTGATATTAAATTTAATAATAATGTTTGTGTATTCATAAGGTTTTCAGTGAAGTTATTTATATAACTACTGTCTCAGGGACCACGCTATGTCACCGTTGTAAATATAAAATATATGTAATAAACAATATTATTATATCCATTCAAATGACATAAATGTTATGTGTAAAATTTATTTATGGCACTTAGATATATTATCGGAAAAGTTTGTGTATTAATGTTGTGTGTACATCACTAGGTTTACACATCACTAACAGAATGCTTCGCTTAGCTTTTCTGCTTTTGAGGTTTTTTGTTTGCCTTTTTTCTTCTCTTCTGTTGCCGTTTCTTAATCGGTGTACCTTATGTTTCAGAGTATTTAACAAAGTTAAAAGTCGTAGCGCACACATGAAGTCGCACCGGCCACTCGACGCCGAGCCGAAAAGGCCAAAACTCGAAAAGCCTTATGAAAAGGTCGAGAGATCTGACGATAAAATGCAAGCGACTGCTGAATATCAATTGCTAGCACAGTAACTGACACCCAGTACTCATTCATTCCATCCGCGCGTCGCCTCGTGCCCCCTCGTGCCACACCCGTGCCACAACCAGGCCACGTACTCGCCACGCTCGGGCTACTCTTGTGGTACACTCGTGCTGTGCGTAATACTCTCGCTGTTCCAATATAGACAATTTTTGACGTGGCGATGTTTATTCAAATTAAAAGAGATTTTCATGCAATATTACACATACCTTTTTCTAAGTAATGTTGATATACATATGATAAATTAAACGTTGTCACGTCGAACTGTCATTCAGTTAACGCGCAACAAATAATCTCTTCCGTGTTCCGAGCCACCGGCCGCACTGCCGCGCTCCCGGCGCGCACTCGCACCACGCCCTATTGTACATAATTAAGTGACTAGCTCGAATTAAAGAAATGCTAATCGAATCAGCATTTATTATGGTTACAAATAGTTTTATATTTAAAACAAAGTGATTTAGGAAAGAGGAAGTTAGTAAATAGTAGCTAGAGAAGATTAGATCTTGGGTAAAAAACGAAATTACAGTGACTATTTCGAAATTTTCGTGATGCTAAGCTACGAGAGCGCATAAAAATATTTTGTATAACGATTAATAATTGTAGATAGTTAGGGCCTTCGTAAAGTTTTTATATGACAGACTTCTCAATGTGACTTTGCAAGTGTGATGTTGTAAATAAATCGATAGTTGTTCGACGCGCGATTCGGCTTCATCGAGATATTAATCTATATTTCTATAACGACTACGTGTGATACATTAACGTAACTCGTGTAGTAACTACACTACCTCGTTTCTATTGAATTGTTTGATTTTATTGCGAGCCCAGCTCACTATACATTAGCTTGTTTGCTCACATCTTGTTATTTTGTAGTATTTTTGTTTTATTTTATTTCTCTAGTCATACTAGATAAATATATGGAGCATAGAAGCGTGGGAGTTTTAGATAGTTATAATTTAAGACAACGGAATTCAATTCTTTATCCGTACCGTATTTAGTCACATATCGATGCAGTTTTAGAAAAATATTGACAGTAAATGAGATGCCGTCTCTGTGAGTGCTCGATCAAACTTATTATTTTAGATGTTATTATCATTGTTCTGCTTAAAGTAGCATCTACATTTAGATATAACATTGTTCATTATTTTAGTTAGTATTATGTCTACGATATTCTTATTTTAAGGGTTGTTATGTTTGTAAATATCTTTGATCTACATTCACAGAAGCACATGAAATAATAAAAATGTATGAAACAATATTTTTTTACACAAATATTATCGAAATGCTCAAAATACTATATTTTATGTTGATAATTTTATGAACTAAGTCCTTGTTGTTGTTTGTTCGTTGGTATCTCGCATCATTTGTACTCGATGTGTTAGTTAACTGAGTGTACATTATTTTCATCAATGTTTAATTGTACTTAACTAATTGTATGTACGTGTACCTTACGTGTTGTGATATGTAATGTTTATTATGTTAAATAATCTGTGTATTGTTTAAACTGAATGTACAAATCGGGCAATAATTTTGCTCAATTATATAACGAATAGTGGATCTGTCTGTGTGAACTGTGAATCCAGCTGCCAACGTCGAATCGAATCTCCTTTATAGATGTATTTCAGCGGTTGTGAAATTATTATTCACTTTTTGTCTTCCTAAACCTTGTGTCTGTTTCTTACTAGATCTAGATAATTCTTTGGGGCAGTATTCCTTGAAAAAGACATGTTAATTATTTAAATACCGTGATCGTAATCGTGTTCTGTATTAAGTTAACCAATTTTAGGTTAAATATTACATGGTTAGACGTAGCGTATGACGCCGTCGGTTCTGCGCAAGAAAGTACAGTCGACGTAACAGTCATATTAAAAGCTGCGGTAACCTGGTAAATAATGTGAAGTCAAATGAGAATAGTGTTGTCAGATGTTCCATTTAACGTGGGTCGTTGTTTTATCTAACAGTGAAAGGTTAACGGTTAAACAATGAACTAAATATTAATCAACTACACGTTTTAACAGTAGCAAATATTTTACAAGATAATCTGGCTATTGATTTGACAAATTCAAAGAGAAGTTGGCAACACTAAAAACGAAATATGTAGCACTGGAGGTACACTGTACCTACTCTTAATGTACTCGTTTTCCTTCCAACTGTACCTGAGTGGAATTCTGCCAAACTTTGACACGAACATTTTGAACTCAAGTGTCGCGATAACATTTTGGAGTTTTTATAAGGTTAATACAAAAATAAAATACTATTTGTACATCACTAACTCGTGTGATTATTTGGTTGTGTTCTATGACAATGTAGACAAATTTTTTACGGTAAACTGTTATTTCTATAATTGATTTCTGACTTGATATTATGCCAAAATATTGCCAAATAAATTTAATAAGTACGACATATATAGGAGCTATTCACATAGAATCGAGTACTTACGTTAGAAACATAGATGATTGTTTTAGATTAAGGCCAGGCTTTAACTAAAACCTCATATTTAAAGGTTTAGTAAAGTTATAATGCTTTTAATCTGCTAAAAATATGTGCCATTTATTTTATAAAAAAAACTAAATACATTAAAAATTTCAAATTATGTAAAAGTTAAATATATTCTATAAAGAAATCGCCACGGTAAATGTAAAGCTGTGAGGTTATATAGTTTATTTACGTAAATAACTCTGTCTCTATGAACTCATTCTATCTTATTATATTTTAAGCGAAATGTTAAAAAGAAATTAACCAATCAATCATTTATTTAATACTGTTACAAAACGTTTTATTTTTACCGTGGCTTGTATAGTAATATCTAGCCTTCTGTCGTCGACATTCAGAGCGAAGTTATTTTCATAAAATAAGTAAATCGTTACGTAAATACTGAATATTTTTTCAAATTATGATACCGGAAATAAATCTACGTCTACGTCATAAATTACGATTTATTAAAGACAATTCCCTCCAGAAATATTTTTTAACAATACTCTAGCTATTAAGACTGAAAATTACGCGAAATTCTTTAAGCTTCATTCAGCGTAAAGTCATTTTTCTTTTTCAAAGTAGGTACAAGTTAATCACCTTCACCCATTCCACGTGCCAAAGCGTCGCTAGTCAGAGTAGCTACTAGGTATAGATTTAAATTTACCCAGTGTATTAACAAACACTCATAACATTTTAAGTCTAGTCATAGACTGAGCAAAGCGCAGCTCCCAAAATCTACATAATTAATTTATATATACATATTTAATACTTTCTTAGATTTCCGCGAATACTTGACATTTTAAATAAAACTATCTTTTCGGATTTTTTTTTCGCGAATTTATTTTGATTTTTGGTTCCCGACATCTTTTATTTGGTCCTTTCAGACATCTAACACCTCAGTCTCTCCCGTGGCCATGATTGCTGTAAAGCATTCGAAACGTCGGGAACCAAAAATAAAAATTAATTCGCGAAAAAATCCGAGAAGATAGTTTTATTTATATATATTTGTATATTTATTTATTTTAATATTTGGCATATAAAATACTTTAATTATTTTTAATTATTATGTGAATGATAAAACTAACTTTTTATTTAACTAAAACTATCCAATTAGCGAGCTAAAATGGAACAGCTGTTGATTTTTTCCTTAAAATGAGATGAAGTTCCTGCGTTCATTTGTCTTGGAATAACGTCCAGTTAATTCTTGTGCTTTGCTTAGTCTTCAAAGACTTAGAGTTAGCTCAAAACATAACTCTTTCATTTGTTTAGATTATAACCTTTCGAATACTCTGTGAAACGCTAGGTATTAAATTGTAAGACCGATTATTGGATAAATCTTATTTCAATTTAAATATAGAAGTGCCTTACGATTTTATTTTTATACTGTTATTGTTTTTGTTATTATTTTATTTAAAACAGATTACACGAAGCACTGGAAATTGCATTTATTTGTGTCCACTACGTCCACTCTGCACGTGCAGAGTCGGTGTGCAGTGGCCGATATTAGTTCAATCGTTGCTAGTAAATTATTTAACGTGTTAATTTATTATTTAATTATAAAGACACTACGGGCTAACATTATTTAACGAATATCAATTCATTTGCCTAAGTACCATAGACTAAAATCTTTTATACGACGGTGTTAAAGTACAACAACGGCATTCACAAACAATAACTACAAGTCAATTTAATGAATAATCTACGAAACTATAACAATGTATACTGTAGGCGTCGACGTGAACTAGAGGACGTTTCTCGATTATAAGCATAGTGTATGTTTCTGTACCCACATCGTGTTGTCTCCTGCGTTACGTTCGCTTACCGTTACTATTTTCTGATTCCAATCCCCTAATTCGTAAACTATATAAATGTATATATTCTTATGTATTTGTGTCAACACAATGTTATTATAAGCCTAAGTGGATAATATATTCTTCTAATTTTGTATCGAATAAAGTGTGTAAGATAAGTGAAGTGCCAAGCCGGTGCTTCAGCGCGTGCGGTACTAGCGCGAACACATCGGTTATTTTAAAAATATACATATTTCAAATACTGTTTTTAAAGTAATGTTAACTGAAATTTTTATGCTAATGGCTATTTATTTTTAACATTAATTAGATCTGTTAAAAACTATATTTTTTATTAATATAATTTTGTATTTTAAAACGTTATGAACGTGTGTACGCGATAGTACTGCACCAGCATCATACGTACTTTACTTGTAATGTATCCGTAGAAATAACTGACACGTGCCAAATGCACGATAATTTGATATTACACTCTGTGTTGTGATTTTGAACGTTCTGTAAAATAACAGTCTTTAAATACTATAAAAATTGTAGACACCTTTTTAGATTAGCACAATTCTTCGCGTAGTCACGTTAGTTCATTAATGGTTGTAAGCGTTTAGATTAAACACTGGAATAGATAATTATTGGACGATGTAAATGTACGTATAAATTTTAGATTCATTGTTATATTCAATGTGATGAGTCGTAAAAAACAACGATTTTTCTCT